ATCACGGCACTTTTTTACTTTGGGGGATCGCACGCGAGCTTGCTCACGTGCGACCCCTCCCCCCAAGTAAAAAAGTGCCAATGAAATCACTACACCCTATTACTGAAATCACTGATCATTTGATCATTTGCTGTCATTATTATTGTTATTATCTGATATGTACGATAAAAATCATGTTTAAGTGATCATTGCGGATGCGGTGGCGTGACCTGAATTTAATTTCAGGTGTAACCGCGTATCCAGGACGAGGAGGCCAGGTGCTTGGCTTAAGGAATAAACGTCTATATCGGCAGTTTCAACCGAAAGAGGAGTGGTTCGACTACGAGGATCAGTCGTTTGATTACAATCGGGTGGATAAGGATATGCCTTGGGATCCGGAGATCTCGAAACGGATGGATCGATATCCGACCAAGAAATATCACCTGTCAACGAAGGCGTTCAAGAGGATTGCAACGAAAAAAACCGAGACCATGAGTATGGCTGATAGTTAACGATTTTTAGATTTTATTTTGTTTATTGCGTTGTGTATATATAAATGAGTGTTAATTAATTAATGTTAATTGTCATTAAACTATAGTGATTGTTAATTATTGTGTTGGTGATTGATTTGCGATGTGCATTCGATTGGCGATTGGGAGAATAAAACTTGGTGCTTATGATCGTTATGGTGTTGGGCTGCTGATGAAATTAGACGATTCGCGTAGCGATGATCGCTGATCGCTTATCTGATCTGATCGGATTGATTTATGTGCTCTTGAAATATTGATTGGATTGATTCATGTGCTCTTGAAATACTGATCTGATCGGATTGATTCATGTGCTATCGAAATACTGATTTGNTTGGATTGATTCATGTGCTCTTGAAATACTGATCTGATCGGATTGATTCATGTGCTATCGAAATACTGATTTGATCGGATTGATTCATGTGCTCTCGAAATACTGATCTGATCGAATTGATTGATGTGCTCTTGTAATACTGATCGGATTGATTGATTCATGTGCTCTCGAAATACTTGTTTGATCGGATTGATTTATGTGCTCTCGAAATACTGATCAGATTCATGTGCTCTTGAAATATTGATCTGATCGGATTGATTCATGTGCTCTCAAAATACTACTTGTTTATCCACTTGTTTTCCCATTAACTGTAAAACAATTTCTAATGAAGGAGATGACATAATAACGATGACGTCTTTTCAATGTCTCTTAACTTGTTACTTGGATACTGATCGTGAGTGATCGTTTGATCAGTTGTTGTGATCGATCGATGGAATATTGATTTTATGATCGTTTATTGGATTGGTTGGTATTTGGCTGTGTTTAATTGCGCCGTCTAATAGAGTTGCGAAGAGCAGAAAATACTAATATATTAGATGTAGGCGGGACTTGGCTTCTTTCCAACATTTGTCCGGTTGATACCGAAAAACAATTAAGCCCCGCCCATATGCCAATGGCGGCGCAAATGTGTCAGCGTAAGGCTATTCGTTAACCTGAGAAATACTATATCATTTGGTGTTCGACAGAGAACAAAAGATCACAGATGAGGGATAATGGAAAATGTGGAGGTACAGATGGATGACGCTAGATGAGAGATGAATCAAAAGATAGGAAAAATTGAGAGGTAAAGAGAGGCACGCATTATCACTAAATATTTATTATAGAATAACAAAAATTAGTAATAATTAACTTACATTATATAATAATAAATAAATAAAACACGTACAATGTTAAACAAATTAAATTTCAATAGAAAATCAGCTAAAAAAACTACTATCCTAAAAAATTCCCACTCATTTTCCGATTTTTCATAATGTGATCAGTATTTCCTTCGCTTACGATCGCCATATTCCCTGGCCAAATTTCTATCTTTGCTCTCTCCTCGATTCCTAGTATCTATCGCTCTTCGTTCATCCAATTTTCTATCTCTGCACGCTCCAATTTTCTCATTGTCATTAGCGTAATCCCCGTTGTAAGGCTGCCTTTTCGCCGCTAGTCGATGACACGAATCACGGCTCTCCGATGGCTTCACCTCTTAAAATTTACCTATTATTAATTATTAATTATCATTAATATTATTAATACCATTGCATTTATTACTATATAAATCAAATATAGTTTTAATTAAACAATTTATTTATTATTAATTATATTCATCGAAAAATAATCATAAAATAAAAAATAATTTAAACCTTTGCAATGTAATGAGAATCGTGCGTTTGTAGATGGCTCTGCATTTAAATTGTTACAATTTATATCACATTTATTATTACTATTATACTCGTTATTACTATTATTATTATTGTCGGAATCTCGCAATCGTTTTATACACTGATCCGTATCGATCGCCAATGCCTTTTGATCAGTCTGAAATTTAAAAATCACTCTTTTTACTCGCTCTGAAATTTCACCACTACAATAAATATATCTCCAGTCAGTAATGTGACAAAATAATAATAATAATACATAACAAACAATAATATT